AAAGCATATACTAGAATAAATATACTACGCTGTTTAAAATATAAACTTAGCAGAGAAACTCTTATAAAAACATATTTTGCATTCATAAGACCTTTACTTGAATATGCTGATGTAATTTGACATAATTGTACAACCCAACTAAAAAAATTACTAGAATCTATCCACCTGGAAGCAGCAAGAATTATAATAGGGCTGAGAAGAGGAACATCACATCACTTACTTTATAGGGAATTAGGGTTGGAACCATTAGAAATTCGTCGGAAAAATCATCAATTGATCTTAATGTACAAAATACTACATGGCCATGCACCTTTATACTTGCAAGAATCAATCATTCCTTTTATTAACAATAATGAAGCAAATATACATTCATTGGGTAGAAATAGAATATTTAGCCCTCCACTCAGTAGATCAAACAACTACTATCATAGTTTTTTTCCTTCAATGCTCTGAGAGTTTAATAAACTCTCACCTACTACAGTACAAGCAACCTCACTTAACATTTTTAAGAAACTTATAAACATGTCAAATATCAGTGAAGAGGGAGATGTGTGCGTTTCAAATGTATTCAAAAATAAAGAATCAAGGAAGTGTAATTTCATACTTTGTCAACTTAGAAATGGATGTAGCAACTTAAATTTTGACCTATATATTGATCATTTAAAAGATAATCCTATGTGTTCTTGTGATTTAAACCATGAAACTGTCTCACATTTTTTTCTTCACTGTCCTCTGTTTTCAGTCCAAAGAGCATTACTAAAAAATGAACTTGAACTTATTGGAAACCATAACCATTTTCATCTCACCAACTTACTATATGGCTGTCAACGAAGGACGAAGGAGTAAATATGGAAATTCTATCCTAAAATATACAGTTAAAACTAAAAGATTTGTTTAATATCGAGTATAATACCAGGCAACTTGACACATTTTGAGTTAATATATATACACATGTATATATATTTGTAGATAATAACACTTATTTATAAAAACAACATCCAATCGTACAGGAGTGCATCTCTGGCTGGTTATCATGATATTGTTATGCTTTCCTTTTATATTCTCCCATACTACTTATATCTTTATTTTTTAGTGTACATACTTAAGATCTGCAATTTTTCCATATATGTACTCAAATGCATTACTGTGAATTATACCGCAATAATATTTACTCTGGATCCTGTACAGTGTTCAGTTGAAGACCTAAACGTAACACAAGGACTGTGCGGTCTTCAATCTGATATTAAAGCTTGTATACTACATTGTATATTTAATACACTATTCTATGGGAGTTATCCCCCTTCCCCCACCCACACCATGTTTTATATAATAACCACTTAATTATGTAAATATCTAATTAGATTTAAGTACATAATTGGTAGTAGAACTATAGACAATATGTAGAAGAAATATAATCAGAAGTTTAGACCCTAATTACATGTAATTTTTCTCTATACCAAAATATGCAGACACTAATTACCAAATATAATGGATACACAAATATATTATTACAAAATAAAATGTATGTTGATTAAATTTTTCATGTACCAGAAATTAAATCATCGAGCCAATTCGTAAATATTCATATTGTATCCATATTGTATCCGTGTAACATTCTTCTATGTCAATAAAATATGTTGAAATCAACCAACACATTCAGAGGACGACAACCCGACTCAACAACTTCAGTCAAGAAGTTGGACTCAAGATCAACCAAAGGAAGACTGAAATAATGACCATCAATGTGCAAGCAACATCACCAGTACGTTTAAGTGATACCGATCTCACGTGCCCATATACATTCACCTACCTAGGAAGCACAATCAACAAAGATGGAGGAGCTAGCAAGGACATCGCTAACATATTGAACAAGGCCAGATTTGTCTTCATAAGCCTGAGAGAAGTGTGGAAATGAGCACAGTATTGCACCAGCACCAAGCTGAGTATATACCAGAGCTGTGTACTATCAACACTTTTATATGGTCGGGATGTTGGAAAACTTGTCGAAATCGTTTTGTATTGAAACATCCGGATGAAAAAGCGTGTCTATTATCATAGAACGAGAGCAGGTAAAATGTACCAAAACCAGGAAGTTTCGAAGAATATTTGAGAGAGAAAATCAAGAAATATAAATAATAAACTGCGTTAAGTTATTTAAGCAATTTTTCTATGATACGTGAATATTTCTCTACACATCTATAAACACACATACAACCATACAATCATTCATTCCACACATGCTACCACATTACAGTTAAATATCCTCCACTCAACTAGCACACAAAGCACAGTTACATGTACCAACGTCAACACACGCACCGTATACAATTAAGTCAATAGTATTTTCAGTATGTAATAAATTAACACATATGCTACCCTGAAATAATCCTTGTATTAAGCCTTCTCAACGTGTATCCCAGAAACCCATATGCTAATTGGTGATTCAATTATAACGTATATGATTTCACATTAATACTTATATATATTTCGAAATAAGGCAGTTTTTGTATTATTATTATGTGATATATGCACTGTTTATATTTAAAGGAGACAGATTTTATAGGCTTAGCATGTTGCCCCATTCCTTTTTTATGCAAGACCAACATGAAGAAGATATGGGGTGATACTACATTATTGATATATAAGCTTGATCGGGATAAAATAAATAGTTTCAAAAGTTATCAGCATTATCAGCTGAACATGTCAGAGTCAGAGTAGGCTACATGACCTTAATTGATATAAAAGTCTTTGTGTTGGGGCAAGTATGCTGCGAATGCTAATATGTGAACAGTTGCATCTGCCCCACGAAATGAGGTAAAATACCTCTCCGCACAGGATCTTTAAGACAAATATGGCTGCTTGTGTCGTGTAACTTACTTTATTATTTACTATAGTGACAGTGAAAACCATAAATCACGAGTAACAAAACATGCAGTGCCTCTAACAGTATTTTCTAGCTGTTCTTGCAAAGGAAACTGCATAACGTTATATAGTGACAGTGAATCATATTATCAATGTTCCCAATACCGATTAACTTCTGACCCAGACATTTTAGAAGTGTTAACTTCACCTCCATATCTGTCAACCACCAAAATTGCAACAACTTATGATTTAAACAAACTGTTAAAACCATACTTTCGGTGTTCAAGAAAGCTCTACTGCCCAGGCAAAATCATGAAAATATCGGGGAACGAAAATGCCATTCATATGTATACATTAAAGGAAATGGTAGCACCTGAATTAGAGTGTCAATTGTATGACAGAAATGGCATACGATCTCTCGTTTACGGGACTTGCCAAGACCAAATTGAAACCGCCGACAACTGGATTCAAGTGGCACTCCAGTAATATTTCCAGAGAACTACTTGGCCCTTGGCCTCTTGCTTATGGACTCACCCCGATTAGAAAAAAGGAAATAATTGTGGTAGTTTCTTAGTAAAATAATTTACATTATGTAACTATTAATCACTGTATCAGAAGGAAATAATAATCAACTACTTGTTTTTTCCAAATACCAAAGTTGAATTGGAGTGATAAGGTCTCACTGAGAGGGACACACATCCATTGTTTGCAGCATGTGTGACGTATGATGGACACTCTGTTGTTATAAAATCACAATAAACATTCTACTGACAAGGTTTACTCAATTGGCTTTAGGCTGCAACTACAGTGGAATCAATACATTATTAAGGATACTTCTTTCTTAGATATCCCCGAAAGATGCAAGAAAGTTTTTGACACCCCCTTTAGATAAGGTGAGAAAATCGAGAATGAATAAAAATAACGATGATGAGATAAGGAAAGATGCAGAAGTAGACAGTAAACAAGCACCAGCCAAAAGGTTTACAGTTACATGTACTTCCAAGTTGGGTCACTAAGATCACTAAATAGGGAAGAGAGGTGCTTCACTGTCATTGTCGAGTTGTATTAAAAAAAAAAAAGACAGGTGAACAGGACCCGTAAAACAGTTCCTTGGTTATTACGAGAGGAAAACGACAAGTAGTTTCATCTTCCAAACGTTTTGGTTCCGATTCTCTTTTGCGCTCTTATGTAGCACTCAGGAAAAATACTTTACACCTTCATTTGATCCATCTGTGCCACTTTTAGTCAGTATATTCAAGAGCCATTTATATTGTGGATTTGTTACAATCTTTTACATTTACATGTACGAAATTTCTCAAAGACACGATGACAACCTTCACCAATACATTTACTCTTCATTATGAGATGAATATTAACAAATATCCCCTCACATTCTGGATGATAACTATATTATGTCAGCATCACATGAAAGAAAATGTTCTTTCCCAAGTATAATGATGCAAAGAAACGATTTTGCTACAGGAAAATACTTTCAGGCTGATATTCCATTTTTTATCCCCATGCTGTAATTAGGTTAATCAATCATCTCAATAATTAGTAGAGTGATTCAAAGTTATATCTCCAGATTTATAAAGGATTGAAAAAAGTTAATTAAACAGCAGAAATCTCATAGCACTTCTGAAACGAAAGTTATGAGTGAGCAGGCTCCTATGTAATTTTTGCATAGCTGGAAAAATAGATTGTGCCATTCATGCACACTTTGTGCGAGGTATGTATAGACAGAGATGTCTGACACGATATACCGTAGCATAGCTTCGGAATATTATTCATGCATGGATACATACAATGGGCTTTAATTTATAAGGTTAATGGTATGCCTAAAGCAAAACAACATTTAAACAATCGGTCACCTGTTTTTTTTATTCTTATTTGATATTGTAGCAATTGTTCAAACAAAAGAATAAAAACAATGGTATGCGGGTAGTCCTGTGCACTAATTGGTGTGCATGTACATACATGCATACAAGTAATGTGCAACTCACATAATATCTGCACAAAATATTCAGATTTTCCATGCGTTAGTGAACAGAACACATAACTTAGAAAAAGAGAAAGCAGAAAGTATATGCATAATAAATAAAGATAAAAACACACAAAGTGCATACAGAAATACTTACAAGTTTTGTTGAATTCATCTGTACTAGCTGTGTGTCTCCGATCATGTTTAATAAAGTAACCAAGGCATGAATGAGCCGCACCACCACTTCGGAGGTTTCAAAAATATCATTCCGCGTGTTTATTTCAATATGACGTTTTTTGGATAAGAAAGATATGTATAAATGTTATCGAAGCGGAAGTTTTAAATATGTTACATGTGCAGTAAATAATGTAATAGATGTGTGATTTTATGACAGTAAAATATTCCGTTGTTACGGTACTATTTTACTTACTCATATACAAGCAAGATAAAAAAAAATACGCTCTAAAAAAGTGGGCCGCTTTCAGTTGAAATACTTTTCACGTTTTAACGTTAAAGTTACAAATTCGTGCCAATATTTCATAAAATGCTGATATTTTTTACTAAATTTTTCCCGTATTTTTCTTCCTATAATATTATACCTTCCTCTTTCGTTTTGTACAGTAATTTCAACATGGCACCGTGTCTCTTATTATATACTACCATAAAATAGAAATGAAACTGTACACAGGTAAATCAGGTGTGTGTAAAACAAAGACAAAATGCGAAATTCGACATATGCACAAGGACAAAGCAATGCACGTATACACAACGCATTCACCCGTCAAGGCTGTTCAAGAGTGTACACTTGTATTTGTTTCATTACAACTTTGTATGTTTTATTTATATATCCGAGCGAGACATCGTGGTAGGGGTTATATAAGCGAACGAGAAGGTGTAATGTACGTAAACCCGGACAGTGGTACGTTTTTGCATACATATGAAAAATTACACAAGAAGAAACCAAAAAACAATCAGCATTTGCAATTCCTATTCCACAAAGGAAGTTATATCCTAGTATACCAGTATTCTTTTGGGTATTTGAAAAGTATTTATTTAAAGAAAATCGCATGCGAGTTAATATCTATCTACACATCTAGACACATGCATTCAATTGTACACTCGGCCCAATCTGATTCAAATACAGCTCCTCTCTACTGTAGAGGGTATAACGAGGAGCTGTATTTTAATAAGATTGCACTCGGTCTTTCCACAACTGTTCACAACAATACAATTAAATATCCCCCATGCCTTAAGCAAACAAAGGACAACTCGTACCGCATTCAACACACGTACCATATGCAGTATTGTCAATAGGATTACGTATATGATACTTCATGCACACAGGTCAAGCAAATGGAAACCCGTAGCGGAGTTAATTACAATTGTTTTGCCCAAAGAAATAAACAGAGAATAAATAAGTTAATCAATGTGTGAACAAACCAACAGTGACAAGTAATAAATTATTCATGTATGAAGACTTAAAGATGGAGTATGTCCCTGAAAAATACCTCATTATTAACAGTTGTACAAGTTTGTTCATGCTTGGTAGGAAATGATACAAGGACATGTTTGCCGGATCTCATAATTCAAAATTACCACCATGGCTTCCTATTTTCAATTCTCTTTTACTAATCACAGTTTTTGTGAAAAAAAATAAAGTTGAATTTTGTTTTCGCTCTGTCTCGTAAAACAGTTCTGTTTCTATTTTGTATGTTATATGACCTGGTCTAAATTTCTCAAATCAGCATTTTATAGTTTATTGTACCAATAATAGATCAAATAGGACAGACGGCTCATAAACTATAATTGTACAATTATTCCTTTCAAACCCGTCTCTACATATATCAGAAAAACAACAACGACGAGATAGTACCAATGACTAGGCAAGATGTGTGTTACTAGTCCTGATACGCTTTAAAATATAAAAATTACAAACATGAAACGCCATTCGCCTTTCTTGGAAAACATTTTAATTTGTGTGTGTGTGGGGGGGGGGG